AAAAAGAGACTTTAAGAGACTAACCCAGAAATAAGAGACTAAAGCTATAAAAGAGGCCTGCTCGTAGGCCATGAACACTGAAGGTGGAGATCTAACAAATGCCACTGAATTCTAACAGCTGATTTTAAAACAAAAAGAGCACTTACTACAATAGATATATAAGATATTACTCCAGCTAGAAACAGTAGAACAAGTGAAAAAATGTATGATTAAATTAATGCAAATTTTGAAAGAACAGATATCTATGCAACAATGGGAATGGTTATGGGGAAAAGATATTAAGTTTACAGCCAGCCGGACACTAAGAGAAAATTGGTATAAAATGTTTTTTAGAAGGTATATAACTCCAAAGTATATTGAGAAAGCAGAAAACAACTACAAAGGAAAATGCTGGAAATGTCAAGACATAGATGGAACCTTTTTCATATGCAGTGGACTTGTAAAAAAGCAAAATTATATTGGAAGGAAACACATGGAAAAATGCAGAACATATTAAAGTTTAAGAACATAAGAGACGCCAATGTTGGATCAGGCCAAAGGCCCATCCAGTCCAACATTCTGTGTCACACAGTGGCCAGAAATACCAGTGCCATCAGGAGGTCCACCAGTGGGGCCAGGACATTAGAAGCCCTCCCACTGTTGACCCCCCCAAGCACCAAGAAGACAGAGCATCACTTGCCCCAGAGCCCCTATCTATACCTTGTGGCTAACAGCCACTGATGGACCTCTGCTCCATATGCTTATCTAATTCCCTTTTGAAGCCGTCCATGCTTGTAGCACCCACCACTTCCTGTGGCAGTGAATTCCATGTGTTAATCACTCTTTGGGTGAAGAAGTACTTCCTTTTATCCGTTCTAACCCGACCGCTCTGCAGTTTCATGGAGTGCCCACGAGTTCTTGTATTGTGAGAAAGGGAGAAAAGTACCTCTTTCTTTACCTGCTCTTTCCCATGCATAATCTTATAAACCTCGATCATGTCACCCCTCAGTCGTCTTTTCTCCAAGCTAAAGAGCCCTAAGCGCTTTAACCTTTCCTCATAGGGAAAGTGTTCCAACCCTTTTATCATTCGAGTTGCCCTTTTCTGCACTTTTTCCAAAGCTATAATATCCTTTTTAAGGTGTGGTGCCCAGAACTGCACACAGTATTCCAAATGAGGTCTCACCATTGATTTATATAGGGGCATTATTATATTGGCTGATCTGTTTTCAATACCCTTCCTAATAATCCCCAGCATAGCATTGGCCTTCTTTATTGCAGTCACACACTGTCTCGACATTTTCAGTGAGTTATCCACTACAACTCCAAGATCTCTCTCTTGCTCAGTCTCTGCCAGTTCAGACCCCATCAATGTGTATTTATATTTAGGATTTTTGGCTCCAATGTGCATCACCTTGCACTTGGCCACATTGAACCCCATTTGCCATGTTGACGCCCACTCGCCCATCCTTGACAGATCCCCTTGGAGTGCCTCACAATCCTCACTGGTTTTCACCACCCTGAACAACTTTGTATCATCCGCAAATTTAGCCACTTCACTGCTTACTCCCATCTCCAAATCATTAATGAACAAGTTAAAAAGCAGTGGACCAAGTACTGATCCCTGCGGTACCCCACTGCTTACCACCCTCCACTGAGAAAATTGCCCACCTACACTCACTCTCTGTTTTCTATGAACTAGCCAGTTTTTGATCCATAAAAGGACTTGTCCTTCTATCCCATGATTTTTGAGCTTACTTAGGAGCCTTTGATGAGGAACTTTATCAAAAGCTTTCTGGAAGTCAAGGTAAATAATATCTATTGGATCCCCCTTGTCCACATGTTTGTTCACCCCCTCAAAGAACACTAACAGGTTAGTGAGACAAGATCTTCCCTTACAGAAACCGTGCTGAGTCTGCCTCAATAGGTTTTGTTCATCTATGTGCCTACTAATTCTTTCCTTAATAATGGTTTCCACCAATTTACCCGGTATCGACGTCAGACTGACTGGCCTGTAATTTCCCGGATCTCCTCTGGAACCCTTTTTAAAGATGGGAGTGACATTAGCTACCTTCCAATCCTCAGGAATGGAGGCAGATTTTAAGGAAAGATTACATATCTTTGTCAGGAGATCTACAAGTTCACATTTGAGTTCTTTCAGAACTCTCGGATGTATGCCATCTGGGCCTGGTGATTTTTCAGTTTTTAAGTTGTCTATCAGTTTTAGGACCTCCTCTCTCGTCACCTCAATCTGACTCAGGTCTTTCAACACCCCTCCTGAAATCAGTGGTTCTGGAGTGGGCAAGCACTTCTCATCTTCCACAGTGAAGACGGAGGCAAAAAATGCATTTAGCTTCTCAGCCATTTCCCTATCATCCTTCAATACTCCTTTTACCCCTTGGTCGTCCAAGGGCCCCACTGCCTCCCTGGCTGGTTTCCTGTTTCTAATGTATTTGAAGAAAGTTTTATTGTTGGTTTTTACGTTTTTTGCTATATGCTCCTCATATTCCCTTTTTGCCTGCCTGACCTCAGACTTGCATTTTATTTGCCATAGCCTGTGTTCCGTTTTATCAGCCTCACTGTGACTAGCTTTCCACTGCTTAAAGGAATTCTTTTTACTTTTTACAGCCTCCATTACTCTGTTTGTTAACCATGCAGGCTTTTTCCTATACCTGTTTGTGCCTTTCCTAACCTGCGGAATATATATTTTTTGAGCTTCTAGGATCGTAGTTTTAAATAGATCCCAAGCTTCCCCAATTGTTTTGACCCTTTCTACTTTTCCTTTCAGTTTCCTCCCCACGTGTCCCCTCATATCAGAGAAATTACACCTTTTAAAGTTAAAAGTGGTTGTGTGAGTCTTTTTGGCCAATTCTCTATTTGTACAAATGTTGAACTCAACAACATTATGATCACTGTTCCCAAGCGGTGCAATCACTTTTACATCTCTCACCAGGTCTTGAGTGTTACTTAGGACCAAATCAAGGATCGCCTCTCCCCTGGTAGGTTCCGTGACCATCTGCTCCATAGCACAGTCATTTAGAGTGTCTAGAAACTCAATCTCTTTTTCCCGACTAGAACACATATTGACCCAATCAATGTGTGGGTAGTTAAAATCACCTATTATGACACAGTGTTTTTTGTCTAGCTGCTATCTTTAAGGCATTCATCATTTTATAATCCTCCTCTATATTTTGATATCGAAGCTAAGATTATGCTATTAGGTATGCTGCCTAACAAATGACCAAAAATGTTGAAAGGGGTATTCAAATACATTATGGCAGTTGTTAAAACTATCTACACAGCAAAATGAAAACTAGACATTATGTCCATGCTTAGAAGAATGGAAAAATAAAGTTGCTGAATAGTCAGTGATGGCAAAATTAACAACTTATTTGAGAAACATGGCAATTACAAAATTTGAGGAGAGAATACTATCCAAGCAGAAGACCAATTTAGAATGAGAAGCCGTTTAAAATATTATCTACAAATGAATGGTAATGAAGAAGACGCAAAATGAGAATCAATTTTAAGTGTAGCATCCTGAATGTAAATTTGGGTAAGGAAGTGGAGTCTGGAGTCTAGTGAGAAAATCTTTAATTTTAAATTATGAGATATATAATAGACTTTTCTTCTGTATTTTTGTTATATTATCTACCTGTTAAAGTAATAGTGACTCTGCAGAAGAGGCGAAAATGTGTAGCAGTTATGAAACTAGCAATATAGCTGCAAAACAGACTAGCTATGACAATCTGAAATGTAAAATGATGAATATAAATATACCCATCAGGAGTAAATATCATTACATGTTATAGACAAAGTCCAAAAAACTTTTTGGTATAATGAAGGGAACGTTGGGGAGAAATATTATTCTGTCTTTCATATTTGGTTATATCTGAAATATATGCAATTATGTTAGGTAACCCTTTTTTCTCTTTCTGTATTTTATTTATATTATTTTTCTGTTATTTCAAAAATAAATAATATGTATAGAAAAAAGTTTTATTTGGTTGAATTCATGCTTGTCTACTGAAAAAATGTTAGCATTAAATAAGATGCTCATGTACCATTTGACACAAGAGAATGCCAAGATGCTGTCAGACCAATCCCAAACAAAGAAATACTTCCATAACCACATAATCATAATACACCAACCATCCCAAAACATATCTTGAGAATATAGTGTAAAGAAGACAAGTTTTAAAGCAATGCCAAAATTTCCATAGATTACATACCCTGAATGCTCTGAACATGTATATGTCAGCATTTATGGGCCTGCCATGTACAGTCAGACCACTGATCCACCAGCCTCGTACAGTTGACTTGATGGGCCCTCCGAAGTCCCAGAAAGAGTTCTTTCTCCGCATGACTACCAATTCTTTTAAATGGAGATGTCTAGAACATAGGATCTTCTGCATGCCAAACACCTCAGTTCTACTTCTGAATACTCTGCCCTCCATACATAATTGGACAGATATGTATCCAACTAAACTGAGTATGAACATCTAACTTTACTCCTATTACAGAGCTGAATGTGCTTCACTGGTCTTTGAAAGAGTCTTTGCAGCACCACACAGCTGTATATGTAACTGAATCTCTGCCAAGCATTTTTTGCTACTAATGGCAGCTTTGGAAACTAGCCATATGCTTTCAAAGGGCCACCCCCTAGTAGCACAGAATTGCACAGATACATCTGTCCGTATAATTTTGTTTTTTTATGGCTAGAAGCCATTTGTACTATTAGCCTTGTATAGAGTACCTCAACATAACTGTGCTCTTTTATATAAACAAATGCAAATGGACATCAGTCATCAGCACTCATATGCTCTATTGTGCTTTACCAACAATAGGACTTTTCAGTCACATGTATTCTTATTAATTATCATTAAAGTATCTTTGTTGAATAGGCTACATGTGTGGAAATCAGTTTCTGATAATGACTGTGAATTGTGCATGTATTTAAATCATCTTTTAGTTTAAAAAGTTCAACTTTATCAGCATACCAGAAAGTGAAGTTAAATTCTTACTTCAAATGGCAGCTCCTCTAGCTCAAGGTTTCCAGACAAATCAAGTTTTTCCAGATTTTCACAGTCTCCCAGTTCTGGAGGAATTGTCTTCAAACAGTTAAAACTGACATTGAGTTCTTTCAGAGTTTTTAAACAACCTGTAAAATAAGGAGTTAAAATCAGATAGGTATCATTACAGAAAGCATGTAGTTAATTTAGGAGAGATACCAGAACTGATGCAAATTTTAAAAAATTAATATAAATAACCTCACACAGAGGACAACATCTCAAACATGATCCCTTTTAAGTTTATTAGAAAACATGAAATCCCTACAGAATAACCCGGTATTCTATAACTGTATATCTTTGATCCATATTCAGAGCCTGGAACAGGTGAAGAGGTAAGCAGCCTTACTCTCATCCTGAGACCCTGAGGGGCACAAGGCTTCCCCCTGGAAACTGTTGAAAGGCCATTGTTCATACTGGCTCTGACCCCTTCTGGAAAGAAAAAGAAAGCCAGCCTAGTGCCTCATGCAAATAACTCTCCCTTCCCCAATGCTCAGAAACTCATTTTAGAATGTGAAGGAAAAAATGAGGCTTCATCCTGTACAACCACCATGTAAAATATATGGGAAGGAAGGCTAAAATTACTAAGAATATATAGTTTATTTCCTTTGGGGAGATTTTTAAAGTCCAGGTGACCACCTTGGACAAAAGATCTTCTAAGTACCTATTGATTTCCTTTAGCATTTACATGGCAAGTAACAATTTCTATCTCCATCTGCATGTTCACTGGGATATGTACCACCTTGGGGACCCTCATCAAGTGGAAAAGCAACATAAAAATATTTTAAATAAATAAACAAACAACCATGTGAATAAAGCCTAAGCACAGACATTCATACTCCTTGCAGCATGCAGCCTCGGTACATATAGTACAATGAAGGTATATAAATCTGAGGCAGAGGTCCTGTAATCCCAGTGTTCTATCCAGTGAGAATAACAGGAAGGGGTTTAAATTACTGAATGTTTGGGTAAAGTGTAAAGCTTGCCTGACTTCTGCGCAAAATGGAAGAAAACATGGGGAAGAAAGAATTGTACTTAAGAGTACACTCACCATTTTCTTAACAAATATGTTTCTCTACCTTGTGGTTCAAATTTATTACTTGTCAGCATAAAAGCAACAAGCAGTCCATGTGAAAACAGCAAGTAATAAGAGTTGTTATGGATCTGATCTCATACCCAATACCATGAGCTCCTTCCATGATTCTCCCCCACCTCAGCTTTGGTCTAACCTGGCCTAGTCCAGCATTCTAACCATCACAACACACTGGTTCATGTGTGGTGAGCCTCTCTCTGCAACTTAGAAAACCATTCTTCTAGCAGGTCTAGATTTGAAAACTGTACATTGGTGAGCCAGCTACCCTAATTAGCTGCCACTTGGTTAGCTCCCTTTGTCTTCCATGTGTATAACTTGTGTATAAAGTGCACATCGCTCATGCCTTACCTGCTTCCAACTTACAGCAACATTGGGTAGAACCATACAATCCATTTGTGTATTTGTTCTGCCTCTGAAGTTACCCTATACCAATAGTAATTTTGTTCTAGCTTGTTTCAAACATGCATACAGCCTGAAAAGCTTTATCCCTTTTTTTCTTTTTGAATGGCCAGCCACAAAACAATAATGCAGTGCTGAGGGGAAAGCTACGTACTACACATTTCCCCAGATTCTATAGCTGCAACCAGGGGTCATTTCGTAGAAAAAGAGCTAGGGGGACTCATTAGCATAACTCATTAGCATATACCACACCCCCTGACATCACCGGAAGTGTGTCCTCCCCACAGCTGGCGCCGACCTCCAGCGGGCACCAGCAGGGATCTCCAGGCCCCGCCCTCCCGCACCTCACCCGGGGGGATGGCGTCCCCCCGCGTCCCCCCCAAATGACCCCTGGCTGCAACCCTTACTCCACAACTGACAGAACTTAAATGGTGGGGTGTTTGGGGTTGTTGTTTTTTTTGTTTGTAGCTGGTCCTCCTAAGGGAGCCTCTTGACATTAGAAGACACAAGCCCCCAACTGTCAAAACTTTTTTGTGAATGAACCACTGAAATTACACTAAATTCAAAGTACCTAACCCTAATAATCAAAGACCAAGAAATGGAAAAGTGAACAATATAAAGTATATATTCACAATACATTACAATACATCTAGAATAGAAAACTATAGGCAAGAACAGCACAGACATCGTTCTGTTACTTCTTCATGCACTGCAATTGGACTATGATTTAGGGAAGGGGTGAACTTCTATTCGAAGCATGTATCTAGGTTTGTAGAAGAAAAGCTTCACTTACTAGTAGGTATTTATTTGCATTTGCATATCAATATATATCCCAGGTAGGTATGGCTGGCAGACAAGTGCTTATTGGGCACGGCAAAAACAGATGACTTGAACCATAGTTATTGATTCGAGATAATTTAGAACCAATGTAGTTAGTGGCAATTAACTGGTTTAAATCAAAGCATTTTGTCATGTGTGGTTTGTGACTCTGAATATCCCTCACTACAAAAAAAAGGATATTAAAGAATTAAACAACATCTTTTTGTGCCTCCAGAGCAGAGGCAGTTAAGCAGCAGTGAAATCCAGTTTCCTTGGTAATTTCATGCCTGAGAATATTTTACTTTTAATCAGTAACTACAATACCATCCCAGTCACTCCTGAGTCATGATTTAGTCTCTTTTTTATTTCCTTTTTTTTGCAAAAAATAATTATTAAACACATTAAAACTAGTAATTAAACTACAGGTTTTCATTTTAGTAGGCAATGGTTGTTATCATTATGGAAATGCAACTTCATGATATAGAAAAGCTATATTATAGTTCCTAAGTGGCTGTTAAGAAATCTTTAAGTAGAGGTAATTATAAAACCATTTTTGTAACCTAAAGCCTCTTTGGAAGATAGAGATCCTTTTGAGCAGTTGCCATTACTTGTGGCCTGGTGTGATCTCATGCTACAAGTTATCTGACACAATGGTATCAGTAATAAAATGCTAATAGTGTAGTACATCTTTTGTGGGGGAAGTAAAAGGTCAACATGATGGGGGGGAATCATAAATGGACATAAAAACAGGAGGTACTTTGCAGACCAGCAGGGAAAATCAGAACCAATGAAGCAGAACTGGAGCATCAAGCTGTGCAGGTTGGAAACAGGTAATGCAAATGAGATGTGCAATTCAAGGCCATATAACAAATGATACACACACATGCAATAAGGTAATACATATGAAAGACAGGAAGACAGAGTGGACAAGGAGGAGCTAATTAGGTACCTCTGGGAATGGATACAGAAGGCAATAGCTGGTAATTACAAACTTTGGGAAGGATTGGTGGAGGCCTAGGAGAAAGAAGGCATGCCATCAATTCAATAAGCAATTTTAAAGCATTGCTGGTCCAAAAGAATTGAAGCAGAGGGAGAACCTTGCAGAAAGGCTACAGATAGCCTACAGAGAGGCCAGCAGATGGGTCAGCTAGCTAAGCAGTGCTGTGGAGACAAGCAAGCAGCAATGTTGGGAAGGTCTGAAGTTTATGTATTAACTTGAACCAACCAGACAAAATATATGACTGCAGATCTGCAACAGTGGCATATGCAACCACACACTAAACTATATTGCATGCATACAAAGGCACAGAGGGGAGGCATCAAGAGAAGACTTCGACTTTTTTTTACAAAGAATAAAGCCAAGCCGCTGGGGGAGTAAGGCTCTTGATCCTTAAAGAAAAATCTGTCATCTTGTCCAATAATCATAAAAAGTGGATCAGAATACTGAAATACAGTATTGTGTTTAAGCCTGGAGTTGTAAGATTTATGGAAATGCAATCTGAGGACAGAAGATATGGATTCACCAGCATGCAATCACAATTCCTGGCATTGCAGATGCACCATAGCCATGTTAGGAGTAGGATGCCTGAGAATATTTACTTATTATTGTTTATGAGTAGGATGCCTGAACATATTTATGTATTATTGTATTTTTATCCAGCCCCTCCTCCAAGGAGTTCAGGGTAGCATTCACCTTCTCTCCTCCTACATTTCACCCTCACAACTCTGCAAAAAAGTTAAGTTCAGACAGATTTTTTTCCTCTCTTTTTAAGTTCAGATAGAATGACTGGCCCATGGTCACCCAGTGTGGGAAGTAGAACTTGGATCTTTACAGTCTCAGTCCTGCATCTCTACTAATTCTGTCTTTAAAAACAGTTTCTACTAGTTTCCTTGGAACAGAGGTTAACTGGCTTATAATTCCCTGGATCCCTTTCAGACATCTTTGTAAAAATTGGGGTGACATTTGCTATTTTCTAGTTGTCTGGCTCAGAGGCCAGTTTTAGTGACTAGTTAGTAGATGAACACTTTCATAATTGAGTTCTTCAAGAATCATCAGGTGTATGCCATCTGGACCTGCAGACCTATTGATTTTCTGTTTACCTAGTAGTCCTAGAACTTTTTCTCTCATCACCTCAGTTTGATTCAATTCTTCAGACTCCCTTCCTAAAAACAAGCATCTCAGCATGGGGATGTACCCCACATTTTCCATAGTGAAAACAGATGCAAAGAATCCATTAACTTTCTCTGCGATCTCCCAACTGCCTCCCTAGCCATTCTCCTACTTCTGGTATATCTGGAAGAAATGCTTATTGTTCGTCTTACTATTTTTGGCCATCCCAAATTCTCTTTTTTGCTCATCTTGCTGTCGAATTACATTTATTTTGCCAAAATATCTGCTCCTTTCTATTCACCTTGATAGGGGAAACTTTTTACTAAAAAAATAGCCCTTTTGTCTTTTATAGTTTCCTTGACTACAGTTATTAAGCATGCAGACATCTTTTTAGACTTGGTGGTACCTTTCTTGATTTGAGGTGTGCATTCTACATGGGCCTCAGTTAGTGTATTTTTAAATAGTTTTCAGGCATTCTGGATCTGTCTCTTAATTCTTCCTGTTAACATCCTTCTGAATAATCCCCTTATTTTAGACAAGTTCCCTCTTTTGAAATCAAAAAATGATTGTTTTGGATTTGGGGCAACTTTTTGTTGACATGAATGCTGAACTTAGTAGCACTGTGTTCACTATTCCCAAGCAGTGCAATATTTACATCTCATACCAGATCT